GATTTTAACCTAAACGATCAACCATGTTGCGGGCGATTTTCCGACTTCGATGAAGATGCTCTGCTTGCCATCGTGGCGAATAAACTGAGAATTTCGATGGAAGAGATTGCTAAGAGTTTGAAAATCTCAACTGCATTTCGCTATTTATTTGAAGAAACTTGGGTTCGAGAAAAACAGCAGATTTTGGTTAATTGGAAAAAAGTGTCATTTTCCACCAGGACAACGCCAAACCGCATGTTGCAAAACGGACCTTGCAGAAGCTTAAAGAATTAAAATAGGAAACCCTTCATCACACACCGTGTTCTCCTGACTTCGCTCTTTAGGATTTCCATTTGTTCCGGTCTCGACAGAACAACATAAACAACAAAAAAACTTTACCCTATACAGTAGAAAACTATCTCACAATCTTCTTCCAGCAAAAAATACGAAGTTTCTACGACAATGGCATCAACGAGCTTGTAGAAGTACGTAAGACAGTTGTTAAAAACAATGAAAACTATGTACTTAACCAATGTCTTTTTGTAAGTATTTTGTTTTTAATTTTCTAATCGGGCACGAAGTTTTGCAATGATTTAATAGTAATACATAGAAAAATATATCTTGAAGAAGTAAGCAAAAATTGCCTTTTCAAATCTTCGTAATCATTTTCCAATTCTTTCTTTAAAATTCAGTTTTCTACCGCTACTTAGACACATTAAATTAGGTGCCACTAAAAAAGAGCATACCATGATGAAAAAAAAAAGGCCCCAAAACTTGCCAAAACAAAGTTTTATCGTTAAAATGTTTATGCTATTATTAAGAGGAAAGAGCAAATTATTTTTTTATTATTGTATTCATTTTTTAAGCCTTTCTAGCACATTCGAAATTTTGGCTAAAAATCTTGTTCTTGCGTCAGCCGAGGGGCTAAATATTAGTATGGGAAACTTGGCGCCTTTTTTGCGTTAAAAGCACATTGTTTTTTAAATTCTAGCAAAAATCAAATGATTTTCGAGTTTTAATTAAATTTTCAGAACAAATGAATGAAATTATTTTTGAATTTTTTTTTTTTTTTGCAAAAATCTTAGTAAAAATATTTTTCTTTTTACATCTATTACCCCCACTTTTTTTTTTTAAATTTCGTGAAATTAAAATTCCACCCTCTTCATATTCATATATATATATATATATATATATATTAGTTAAAAGCAGGACTCCTTGGAGAATTGAAATCATCAATTTCTTTTTGTCAAACAGAAACACCATTTACCGAAAATCTGCTCTGAATCGTAAAATATAAAATACAATAAAACTGACATTATTTAATTAAGCTTTTAATTGCTTTTAGAAATAAGATATGTTAAGCACACTATTTTCTTAAGAAAAAAATTCTTTTCGATGAAAAATGAATTTCTACAAAAATTGTTTTCATTTTTTTTAATTTTAATTATAATAATTTATTAAGTTTTAAATCTTCTAAAATTCCGTATTAATTCCAAACTTTTAGATGATATTGTTATTAAATGAAAACTATATTGACTAATCATAAATGAAATAGCTTAGTACAAATCATCAAACACCAATATTTTTAAAAGAATTTTGAATTTTATTTGTATATGTATAAACATGCCGAAGAGCAATAACTATAGTGAATTTAAAGCCATGAAGTATCTAAAATTCATTAAAACATTAGATTACAGAGAATATTTTCTTAAATTTTTAAGATTACTCAGTACTTAAATATCATATATAAAAGGCGTTCACGTTATATTCAATTATGTTTAGGGTTAAAACCCCCAAAGAACAACATTAGATAAATAGCAAGCTATTAAACATGTTAACTCCTTAAATTAACGGCTACTGTCGGGTTAAAAAAGCATTTCTGCGATATTTTAAAATTAAAGTAAATATAGTTCAAATTAGATTAACTATATTTTAAATCAGCTAATATGTCTCAAATAAAGTCTCAGAAAAGTACATTTTAATTTTAGAAGATTTCTTAATAAAGAGAATTACATTGAAAGATAACTAAAAAGGGCTCTAATAGGTTATTTAAAAAAAAATCTCCTAGTCAATTTAAATTAGTTTTTGAAATATAGCAAAGAAAAGATATATCTCATCCTACGTCGTTAATTCGTTCTAGAAGTCACGACTTAGGTAAAAAAAAAAAAAAAAAATGACTTAAGTCGAAATAACCACACTATAAACCGCAACTAAGCACTCCTCTTTGCATATTACAGTATTTATGATATGTACGTACAGTATTCCGAATAAAATAATTCATCAGCGCTATAGCCTTACGTTAAGCATTAGCAATGAAGAACGGTTTGGCAATTTTTTCCAATAAAATCCAGTTTCGTCAATGTCAAAAATCTGTTTAGGAAGAAACCGTTTTCTTCGATGAATTGGCTGCTGCTTGTTCGTAAGCTGATGCACTTTCACCTTGCTTCTTAATAGAGTGATAACTTATTTCTTTAAATCGCATAAACCAGCCTTGACTCACTTTAAACTCTACATCTTTCTCATCTGGGTATTTTTTGTTCAGGTCCTCAAACAAAGACAACGCTTTCACTTGAATGATTTCTTGACTAATAGCAGCATGCTGATGATTCAACCTATCAATACAAAGAGAAAGAAGTTGTTCCATCTCTTCAAAGATTTTTCCTCTTTCCTTATTGATAACAGTATTCTTCATCCCTGGGGCATCAGATTTGATACGTGCCAAAATCTTGTCCTTATTGTGAACAATCGTCGATACAGTTGTCCGACTCATTCCAAAAGATCGAATAATCGATATAACCTTTTCACCTTTTTCATGGCGTTTTATCATAGTAAGTTTATAGTTTAGCGTTATAGCATGACGCTTAGCACTTGCACTAGGATTTTTCTTAGGAGCCATTGGGGCAAAATATAAAGTCGCAAATGAATAAGAATGAGAGAGTAAACAATAAGCAGATGTATACCGTGCGTATGCCTAAACTAAACTAAACTGATTTCAATTTCGCAGTAATCACGAGTGGTGATGACAACGACGCCAAACGGTAGATATTCGAACTACCGTGGAAAGCACCAATATTGAGCTCTTAAAGACCGCTAAATAAGGCGACAACACAGAGTCACAGATGTTTTCATATTTCGTTCTCTAGGATTTATGGTGATTATATTAACATTTACTGTAAATGTACATATTTTAATGATTTTATATACTTTTATTTTTATTTATTGTACAGTAACATGATTTTATGTGCTTTTAACGCTTTTCTAGTGATATTACCACTTCAATATTTATGGCGGACAGACGTAAAGTCGAATAATATGACTTGATTTTTATTTTTCCATATATACGAGGGTCAGTCAATAAATAAGGTGAATTTTTCGGTATAAGGACTTCTAATACAGATAGAAGCTTACTTTTTTTAATTCTTTTTGTTTTACTTCTTTTTCACATGGATTTAATTTCTTTTGCAGATTAAAAAAAAAATTTGAAAGTTTTGGCGATTAACAAAGATAGCCGACCAAGAAGCATGCTCCAGGATTGAACAGCGGTCAGTTATCAAGTTTTTGGTTGCTGAAAGGTGCAAACCAGTTGAAATTCATAGGAGAATGTCAACTGTGTATGGTGCCACATGTTTCAGCCAAAAAATGTCTACAAGTGGGCTAAATTGTTTAAAGAGGGACGGAGCAGTGTTGAGGATGAAGACAGGCCTGGGAGGCCTACAGAAGTGAGGTCTCCTGAGGTGATCGAATCAGTCAATGACCTCATTCAGTCTGACAGAAGAACTACTGTGAACTGCTGAGGCAGGTCAAGAAAGACATAAAGAACAAACGCAGGGGTCATCAGTCAGAAGGAGTCATCTTGCATCATGACAACGCAAGGCCTCACACAGCAGCCCAAACAGTGCAGACCATCAACGAGCTGGGCTGGGAACTGCTCCCTCATCCCCTTACAGTCCAGACCTTGCCCCTGCAGATTTTCACCTGTTTGGTCCCTTGAAAGCGTTCATGAGAGGCACGAAGTTTAAAAGTGACGATGAAGTCAAAAGTGTTGTGAGTGACTGGCTGAGACATCAGTCCAAAGATTTTCACGCAGAGGGAATACGGAAGCTTGTGCACAGATGGGAAAGTGTGTGACAGTTCTGGGAGACTACGTTGAAAAATTTAAAAAAAAAAGTAAGCTTCTATCTGTATTAGAAGTCCGTATACCGAAAAATTCAACTTATTTATTGAATAACCCTCGTATATATATTTTGACAAACGACGTATAATCGAGAACGACTTAACTCGAAACAACGTAACCCGAGGTATACCTGTATTTTGCTTATTGGAAATATTAAATTTAATTTATTAGCGTAAAATTAAAACTAAAATAAAAGCTTCAAGAAAGATTTTTCATTTTTTAAAATTAATTTTAAAGCTTATGTATCGCGTTTTCTGTGGTTGATTCCTTCTCGGGATACGACTTTCTTCTTCATCCTCCCTTTCTCAGACATACACATTTCTATCTATGATTTCAAATGACCCACTTTCATCACCCATGTTCAGACAGAAGCCCCCGCCTTCCATATGCGCACACACACACACACACACACACACACACAAAAAAAAAAAAAAAAACTGAAAAAAATCAAAATCAAAAGACTTTCAATTTTTGGTTCGATCATTCTCTGAAAAGAGATTTCACCATTTCTTCCAGTCTCATTACCCTCCTTTTACCAGTACAACGTGTGTGTGTGTGTGTGAGTGAGTGAAAAAAAACAACATTAAATTAAAAAGTCCCACCGCCATAATACAATTCGATAACAATAAAATCCCAAATAGTAACGGAATCTTAATAATCACAGATAAATAATTTATTCTATTTCAACCTTCATATATTAACTTTTCAGTTTTAATACTCTCATTGTTTACTATGGGTCTGTTCTTTCCCTTAGTACTTTCAGAGAGAAGCGAGGAAATTCCGTGGTGCCTGCAACCTGACCTAGCTATATAAATAATTTTGGCAAAACCCACACTAAATGTTGGTAATGAATCATAATTTGCTTTTGTCGGAAATTCATATTTCATTCCATATTTGCCTTCCTATTTATATTGCGTTTTTAATTTTAATCTGTATCTCCTTATCACATAGCTTTTCTGTTTTCATTGCTTTTGTCAGTTTCTTCTCTCTTCTCTTCCGTCAATTCCATAGTCTTCAAGTTTCTATCCTGCTCTTTCAATTTCTTTCCTCTTCTTGCGCTTTCTTTTCTCACTTATTCCTTTTATTCTCTTATTGTTCTCTTTCGTCTCTCTCTCATATGCCATCATTTTTCTCTTTCGTCTCTCCCTCTCTCTTATATGCCATCATTTTCTCTTTCGTCTCTCCCTCTCTCTTATATGCCATCATTTTCTCTTTCGTCACTCTCTCATATGCCATCATTTTTCTCTTTCGTCTCTCCCTCTCTCTCTCTCTCATATGCCATCATTTTTCTCTTTCGTTTCTCTCTTTTATGCCATCATTGTTCTCTTCTTACTCTCATCATCTCTATTTCACTTCTTACAACACTACTTTTCCTTCTTTTCTCCCCACTTAAAAAACCAAAGGCAAAAAAAAAAGGAAAAGAAAAGAAAAAAGGGGAAAAAAGATGAAAAAGTGGTCGCGACATCAAAGAAACCACGCCTGCATAGTGGCTTTATAGTTTGCTATTAACTATTACCATGGCGACCAGTAACCGCCTCCAATGTCTGCATATTGCAAAATAAACAGTATTCAAGTTTCATCGAAATTTCCTCCCCGCTTCTCCACGGCCTTTTGGTCTCTCTAACCAATGAACGGTCCGCATTCCTGCTTGTGCCTATCTCTGCAAGAAACCCTACTCTTTAATTTGCACTCACTTAACGAATTGCTATGCGGTGCAAATGCTGCAGCTATGCAAATTAACGAGAGACGAAATGGCGTTACAGTGAGAGAAAAAAAGAGTGAAGGAAGGAGGAGAACCTGCATTCAGTCTCTTTCACTGTCGCGTCTCACCAATCACGTGTAAAAATGGCCATTTATAAGGAAATCAATAAACTGTTTAAATGTAACCCGTGATATCAGAAGTAGGATTCAATAAACAAAAACCTTACCTATGCACAAAATTCAGCATTGAATATTAAGAAAAATGGTGAATGATACATTGATTATTGTTATTTACTAGCATAGCTTAGTTTTCGTACAAAGCCATAAGTATGGGACACTCAGTAAGAAACGAACTCACTACTCAGTAGTAATCATCCTATTTGACCAGATCAAAACGAGGTTCCTTGCGCGTATTTATTATAATTTTTGTTTTAATCATTTCACCCCGAAAAAAGGCAATAAAACCACTAAAATGCAAAGGGTTACTGAGTGTGAGAGAAATATGAGGAAAAACACTATTAAGAAGAAAGAACAGGAATTAAGAAAACAGAAGATAACGATTAACATTGCATTTAAACTTTTGAAGATCAAAGTTGACAGGGAAGAAAGAAGCCGAAGATCTCCACAAGCCATAAGTGTGAGAGAAGAAAATGTCAACATAGAACTTACGGTTACCTCTAGTCAACGGTAAAATGAAGCCATGTATGAAATTCTAATAGTGAGGTGAAGGAATGGATCTTATAGAGCGTCAAAAACGTTGAAGATGAGATAGCAGCAATAACTAAATGGAGTATTTATTTGATTTTACCGTCTTTGGTTCAAGTCTTTAGCAGATTCAGTCAAGACTAAAGTCGATGGTAATGGATTATAAAATCAATGAACTTAAAATTGCATCAGTATGAGTTCTTTGAGTACTGACTCATGGATGAGAAAGTTTGTGTATTTTTCATCTGTGCCTGGGGTCATTTATTTTTAATCTCCAGACAAACGCCAAAATTTCTAATACTGATTTTTGAAGTAAGCAGAACCTCAAAAATGTTTTTTGTATTACGCCAGTCTTCTTTTGTCTATTTGAGCCTGTGCTGTACATGTTAATGCCATGTCCCTTCCGGTTGGCGTTTTCTTTCTCTTAGACTTGTTACCACCCAAGGCTAAAGAGACCAGTCTACTCTACTATTTAATCCAGTTGGGTAGAAAAGAAACGGATGTATGCCTTTGCCAAAGATAATGGTGTGAAAGTGAATGTAACAGACTAGCCCAGAATTTGAACTCAACGATTCTATTACTGCGCAATCTGTTACAAAAGCCGCACTTCCCCTGCTGTAGTTAGCTAAGCACAGTAAATATCAATACAAATGTTCCCATTAAGATGATTTTATTCACACCTGCTCTCATATTGGCCTTACACCATTCGTGTTACGTACATAAATTACTCTTCTACAGTAGCATCTTATGAGGATCAGTTTACTTTTTTTATTTTTATTTTTTGAGGATTTGAACTTGGTTCTTCAGACTGCAATCATTAACAACGTAAAAGTAACGAAAAATCAATTAAGTTCTGATGATCCAGGAAAATATATCCTTTATAATTCATTTGAATAGAAAATCCAGCTCCTTTGTTTTTTTACATAGAGAGAGAGAGAGAATATGTTGATATTTATACTATGAAGGCATTACAGATTTTATAAAACAATAATTTACTGGTTGCAAAAAGATTAGAATAAATTTCCATATAGACAGATTAGTTTCAAAATCAACATTCAAAGTCTTTGATTTTACCAAGGCTTAGACACTGATCATAAATGTTGAAGGTAAGCGCTCAACAATCTCAGTGTATATATATCAAGAAAAATTAGATAAAGAAAGGTTGTATCGTGACAAACTTTCAAATAAGGAGATGCTCTGCAGAAAAAATACCTTTGAAATCTTGGTTAGAATCTGGGCTCAGATATCTAAAAAGCGCTGGAGATAAATTTGCTACAGCCTTATCTACCAGAGAACCTACTGTAGGCGCTATGCTATACAAGTTCATTTCGCGGACCAATTTATTAGTACAGTGTCTTCGATTCTCAGTACTGTGACCTTGTGTCAAACTAGGTCACAAATAACGATCTCAGACACAAATATTATCCCATTTCTGTTCATGGTATGCATGTTTTACATTGAGTGATAGAGTGTGTCAGAGTTTGAGAAAAAGGAAGAAGAAAAAAAAAAGAGAAGCCCATAGAAGAAAATATGAAAAGAAATAAAGAAAACCACGTTTTCTAGTCATGAAATGAGATTCCATTTCACCACCAGAATTCTATCAAATAATTGTTTTTTCCGAGAAATGTTCATTTTGAATATGGAAAAGACATTCTATAGTCTCGAAAAGCCGTAAACTCAGAGGAATACAAAACCAGAACTGAAAATTTATTGACTTACCAAAAATTTAGTAGACCGTGAAAAAATATGAATTCCGTTCGTAGACTATTACAAGGAAACAAATTTACAATAATTGTGGTATTAATAACAATTATTGCAAATGACTTGGGATTAATTTACTCATAGCTATTTATTCTCATTTGAATTTGAGGAAGTCATTTTTATTTAGTTTTTAAAAATTTGTTAGCATAAAAAAATTGAGCTAAATGTAGGAAACATGGATGAATATGTAACATCCAATTATACGAACAAAAGTATTATCATACTGTGTTTATTATTTATTAGTTCATAAATTTGAAACATTTTCAATTTTTCCTTTTGTATTTTTAGTGAAGCGCACAATTATCCGTACAATCAATTTCATTTAAAATAATATAATTTTCCAAATACTTCCATAGCCAAGTAAAAATATCTATAGTCAATAACTAATCTACTACAAATTCATTTTGGCATATTGCTCTATTCTTCGAACGCAAAACGCTATGTATCTATTAGATGTTATGTCTGTTTGACTAAACATTAACTTTAAGTTCTGGCCACACATTTTCTATTGAATTCAGATCCGGATTCGTTGCAGGCAGCAAGGATAAAATATTGACAGTGTTGTCGGACAGCTAATTTTTCAACAATGCAATGTTGGAAAGTGAAAAGTCATCTTCAAAAAAAAAAAAAAAAAAAAGAACCAGACAGAATATTTCAGATTTCCCCTTAAAATATAGCGGTACTCTTCTTTTTTTTTTCTCCATGGTTCCAACTATGGTCCGTTCTATTCCTATTAAAACTCTCTCTTGCTACCTTCACGCTTTATAGGAAGGACAGCGTTTTCCACGTTCATGACTTCTCTTTTCCTCAAAACCTGCTGTGTCTGTTTTCCAACGAAAAAATTCGATTTTAGTCTCATCACTACATAAAAATGAATTTAAAAAATATCATTTTTTCCCCAATTAGGAACACGTAAATAAATCGAGCCTTGCGATGATGACTTTTGAGTAAAGATGTTTTTTTCTTGAATGGTAAGTACTGAGAATATTTACTGAGCACCTGTTTGCCATACATTTACCCTATTGTTTAACAAATCAGAAACAATATCTTTTCAACACAACTTTGGGGCTCTTGAATGGATGATCTTTCTTTGCAATCTTAGAGAGAGTTTAGGGCCTTACGACCTCTTCTCGGAAGAGTTGCATCAGTTTTTGTCTAACGATATTTTTCCATGATGGGCTGTACGATCGAAAGTGGTACTAAAACTGCTTAGTTGTTGCCCCAAAACCCATTCCTAAATTGCAAGAGCTCACAATTCTTTCCCACAAATTATTTCACATTCCCCATGTTAGCACTGTTGATACCTGGCTTGAAGTGAGCAATGCGCATATTCATTGCGGTAAACTCTTTAAAAAATTACAACTCACAGATACAGCATGATATCTTATAACGATATAAACGTTTTATTTTTTTTTAACTTCATAAATAATTTTCTGAAGTACGCATGATTTTGTTCTTGCCTATTTTTAATTCAGTGTTTACAGTGAATAAAAGGTTTCTGAAATTGATTATAAGTATTTATTTGATGCCTAAAACCATAATCTATTTGGTCGGTCAAAAAGTGTATTCGGTGTATTAAGTAATTTTTCTACTGAATATGCGAACGGACTTTTTGGCTAACAATATATGTTCAAAAATTTGAAAACAGAATTATATTATTTTAAATGAAATTGTACCATCGAGATGATTTTTCGCTCGATGTATGAGGATGTGCGGAAAAGTTCTCGATTGGAACAAGATAGGATTCTTTATTAAAAAAAAAAAAAAAATTGGTCAGATTTGAGATGTGAGTCAGTCTGGTAACTCTACATTTTTGCATTATTCTTTTATTACTACTACCACCACACCCTATCAGCTTTATATTACTACTTTTTTATTTTTTTAATTATTATTATTAATTATTATTAACCTGATTTTTATTGTATTTTTACATTATATAATATTATATCACGTAATTCACATTTTTAAAAACTTTTTCCTGCATTTTATACCCCAAAGATAAAAATAAACGTTGCCATCATGTGTCTTTTCCAGCAAGGACTTTCAACTCTAATATGGTTTGTTGTCTTACTGGAAAATAAAACTGTCTTATATAAAGGGTCAAATTGTACATTAAAAAATCTAGTACCTCCCCATCCCGCCCTACTTTCTATTCAATATTCCTTGAAGGCAACTCTATACAGCAGACACCTAAGTAAGGCATTATGACTACAATGTTATGATAAAATCAACCAAAATGAAATTCAAGATCTAATCATCACTAAGTGTCGCCGATTCAGCAAACAACGAAGAGAAATTAAAAGCAAGTGAAAAACTGGGAAATATTTAGACCTTGTTCAGAACTGAAGAAAAAAGTGGAGGAGATGAAAGTGACAATTCTACCCATTATTATCGGCACACTGGGAACAATCCTGAAGAGACTTGCTGTCGCTTGATCTTCATACATACAACTAATATAAAAACTCAAGTAATACAATAGCAGAAAATACCCATTGTCATTTTGCCAAAGAAGTATATATTTTGAACCTAACACAATTGGACAACCTTGATGAATTGATTTTGATGGTACCTCTACCTAAAAATAGAAAGTCTGTAATTCATTTATTAACAATGATGGTTATAATGATAAC